ATTTTTGACAAATTAAAAAATCTTAGACATTGATTCGTACTGGTACACAAGTATTACAGTATTATGCATTTATATATATTGTGTAACACCGAGATAAATTACTTATCGGCTTCGGCCGAATAGACTTCGGCAAATTTTTTTAGGGTGGCCCAGGAATTATGAAAACAGCTGTAATAGCAAATTATAATTCTTAATAACTAAAACAAACTCCACTGTGCTGCTGTCATGCATATTATGCAACATACGTACCGGGACAAAGGAAATATATAATCAGTAACCGTACTTTATAAAACTTTTAATTTAAATATCATTTATTATTACTATCTTTAGGCATTATAGATTATTTAATCCGATTATCGAAGAATTAATAATTAATTTCTGCAATTCGGTTGGCTATCCGAATTAATAATTAATTTCTGCAATTCGGTTGGCTATCTGAATTAATAATTAATTTCTGCAATTCGGTTGGCTATCTGAATTAATAATTACAGTACAACATAGAAACAAATATGTAGCATAATGATAACATGCATGTACGTACGTAATGATAGTAACGGTAAGGGTGCCTGTCGCAATTAATCTAACCAAATTACCGGTCAGCTGTTTTCAAAGATGCACTAATAAAGTTTATTGATCATGCAGAAATTTAAACCTTATCAGAGTACATAGGCGTTTAGTTAACATGTTTATGTCGGGAACAAAAAAATAGCCCTAACGTTAATAAACATTAAAATTATGTGTAATGTGTATATGTCGTATCTTGGATTATAATAGGCGTAGGTTTAAGCGCAAAATTAAATTTTGACTCTGTGGTGCGTCAGATTGGTTTTACCATTTATGCGTCATACTGAAATACGCATAACAAATGTTATGATAACATTTAATAAATTAATATATTAATAAATAACATACTATTTATGTATTTTATATGATTCAAATAGTATAGAGTATTCATTTATTACTTTCGGTAGCTATTTTAATAACTTCATTATAATATAATTTATCGTTATAAAAGTGTATTTAATTCTTTATATTTATTTATATTGAATTTTCTTCATAACATTCTTCTTTATATACCTCAAAACCATTGCAAAATTTAACGAACGAAAAAATAATAGGACATCAAGTATTACAAAGAATTGTAAAGACCTATACAGTAAAGTTGGCTTCTGCAATGATGGAACAAATTAAAATACGAAATCGGAGAGCACGTATATGCGTACGTACGTAAAAAATTCTTATTTCAAAAATTGATCGATTTTAATAATAGATAAATTGATCTGACGCATCTCAAAATCGAATTTCGGTCTGACGCAACTCAATTTCAAATTCATGCCCATTCAAGTTTCACGCATAACATCTTTTCCTTTCCGATATTTAAATAGATTCATATTAGTTTAAATATTAGCTTTTATTGAAATAAAAACAGAAAAGAGACATAAAACATATATCATAAGGTGGATATGTATTACAATACCGCTTTTAGTGCTAACGAATTGAACTTAATGTGTTAATGCTACTAGAAATACATGATTGAATTCTTCTTAACATTGCTTTATCTTATATCTGTTAGTGTTACTTTTACCGAGTGATTAAAAGTTAAAGTATGTCATCATATTTTCGTGTGTTGTTTTACAATAAACCCTTTTCTTGAAATTTCTTCTAATTTAATGTTTATTCCTTCTTAAACTTCGTTAGAAGTTTCTTCTAATGAACGATCTTTAGTTTCTGGTATTAAGTAAGAACATAAGAATCCCGCAAATGCAAACGCTGCAAATATTTGAAATAAACAGCTTATGAAATGATTTTTTCCACCAATGTCTTTAAGAAATAAAATACACATTTGAGCTACAATAGCACCGAGTTTTCCACTTGCAGCCGAAATTCCGTAACCTGTACAACGATAGCGTGTTGGAAATACTTCGGCAGGTACGACAAAAGTGGTCGTATTAGGACCAAAGTTTATAAAGAACTATTAAAAAAATCCAAGCAGGGAAAGTAAATGTTAGTCAATGTAAGTAAATAAGGTGATGTTATTATGCATACCATTGATATTGTAAAGATGATAGTAAATATAATTGGCGGAATATCCATATGAAAGGAGATCCCCAAGATCAAAAAAAGGACTGTGAGGACAGCAAATCCCATTTGCTGAATGAATTTCCGTCCTAGTTTATCTATTAATAAGATGCTACACCAATATCCAGGTACGGTTCCCAGCGCGGTCACGACTATGTTACCAACCGCAACATCATATAAAGACTGATATGGATCCGAAGCATTGTTTAGGTTGATAGCATTCAGTATGATTCCTTAATTGAGAGATATAATTAGGCGATCAACGGTTAGAAATTTGACCATTGTAATTCTTTACCTTGGTTAAACGCAATCCCGTAAAATCCCACATCAATGGCAAACCATGTGAAGCTAGTAGCGAGAAGGATCTTTCCATTCTTCCATCTACCAAAGTATTCTAATATAAAAATTGTTAGCATAGTCCATTTATATATATATATATATGGGCTAGGTACTGGAAAAAGGGACCAAATTGACAATTTTTTCAAAAGCTATTTTTTTACATAAATTGATTTAGAATAAGATTAGGATCATTTTTTATTTAAGACACATAATAGTTGTATTAATAAAATTTTGCTATATTGCTCTTTAAAGTTTGCATTTCTTATAATTTATTATAAGATCTACAACATAAAAATTGATTTTCCGAAAATCTTTTGGTTTGTCAATTTGATCCCTTTTCACAGCACCTAGCCCATATATATAATATATATATCACCAGTTACCTCGAAAATCCTTCAATGTAGTTTTGGGTGGCTCCACTAGACAATGTGTTTCAGATTGTTTATTACTTTTATAACTATCGTAACGGAGAAGATCTTCTACCTCTACGTATCCTTTTTTAATATCTCCTTTGACATCCATAATAAAACGCGGTGATTCTGGAATTGTCATTCTAAAGAACAACACCCCGATGGCCGGAATGGTGCCAATTCCAAAGATAATTCTATATAAAATTGATAAAATCAACATTTATACGGTATACCTTGAAATTTTAGATTCAATATTTATATATTACATGCCTCCAGACATAGTCAAGATAACGGACATCATTTTGTATAGAAGATTTAAAAGATAATAAGGTCAGGAGAAAAACCAGGCCTGCCAATAATATGCCAATTCCTTGCATTGCGAATACCAATGATATCATTAACCCACGTCTTCTTTTAGTAGCAAATTCACTGGTGATAACTAAAAAGATTCAAAATATTGGCATTGTTTAAATAGCATTTAAATGCTTAATCTAGTGAATATTTAAATACCAGCAGATAGTATATAATCTCCTCCAACACCCATGCCTAAAAGAATACGCCAAAACATTATCTCCGAAAACATGTTTACGGCAAAGGAATTTGCAGAAAGAGCTAAATTTGAATTTTAGGCGGAAAACAATGGTAATAAATATTAAATAGATAATGGTTTAAACATTTACCGTTATTTACCTGATCCCACAGCAGCCACGATAATAATAACGAGTTCAAATCCATACATCTAGAAAAGAATAAGTAAGTAATGAACGCATTAGTGTAAAGATACATCATATCTATGTAAATACAAACCTTTTTACGACCATATCGATCAGACATCCATCCAAACAACAATAGCCCGAGGATAGCTCCAAATGTCGCTGAAGACTTCAGTTCGGTATCGATACTTATGGGCACAACATTAGCATTATCCGTAAAATAAGCATGCCCAAAGATTGCTGAGACAAGATTAATAGAAAACAAATGATAGGCGCTCGTTAAAAATCCTACACCCGCAACCATACATATACGAAAATGAATAAATTTAAGCTCTTCATTATCAATCTTTGCCAATGCATCTCTCTTTACAGAATCATAAGCTACTGCTGAATCTCGTGATAAAGGTGTATTTCCGACCAAATCTTTGACTGGATATTTTGTAGGTTCTATGAAATCTTCAGTCATTATTTATAATAATATTTATGACGCTACTTTTTATTTAATGAATGAATATGTTGACGGCTTTAGCCATTCAATATAAATTCGCAAACAGCCCCTCTTTCATATATTGGAACCTTATTGAGGAAAAAAAAATTGAAAACTCCAATAATTTAAATAGAAGGAAAAAATATGGAATAGTTTTACCAATAAAAATCCAATATAAAAATTTAATTAAAGTTGAGGTAACATTGGGGTGTCCTGTGCACTATGTAGATCAAATTCATGTATAGTTTATATAAAATTCGATTATATAAATTTTTAGTGTAACAATCACAATAATCTATTAAAAACTATTTGATCATTGTTAAAAATATGGCGTCGTCGGTAATTACAAAAAGTCTCGAAAATTTTTAAATCAAAATAACTCAAAATTATGTCTATGAAATCAAGTTCCATGACTTAACTAAAAATATTCCTTGCATAATTTTACTACATACTATGATCTTTCTAATCCTATAAATAAAATCCGGGTACTGCGACAATAGATTATTTCAATAAGTTAAATAAAAATTTAATGAAGTTTATTTAAAAAACTCTCTATTAGTTTAAAATATAGGTTCTGCTGAGCAAATGAGCGAAATTTTTAAAACAGTTAACATGTAATTTACAGAGGAAATACAATTTGAAGTTTAAAATTCTTATATGAAACGATTATTGTATCTCCTCTGTATGTTGCATATTAACTAGCTTAAAAAGTTTTCTTGGTTACTCAACAAAACCTCTATTTTAAACCAATAGAGCGTTTTTTATTAATTTAATAATTTTCGTTAAATTTTATAAGATCGTGTGCGTTACACGAAAAATTATACGGGCAAAGTGCTATAGAAAAGAGGGAAATCGACATATTTTCGATTTTTCTAGAATAAGAATAGGATCATTTTCACTTAAAACGCGAAAGCAGTTGCATTATTAGCATTGTTTGATCTATCGTATGATGTCGTTATGAGCTTATTGTCATGATTTATTGCTTGAATTGCCTGATGCATTGTGTGATCTAAAATTGAAGTATTTTTTTTGTGATTAGTAATCATTAGTAGTATTTAAGTGAAACGGTTTTTTTCCCAGGAAAGGTAATTTCTGTTTTTTCTGCTAACCCGACTTTGGTTTATTCGCCCCACCCAGCCCTAGTGTTCGTTGAAGCTTGGTCGATCGAAGACGATAACCGTTGCTTAGCTGTTTAGAGCTTTTTGGCAGAAGGTGGCCTGTCGGGACGACAGTCACTTTTTGAATTTTGAATTTGGGGTAGGAAGTTGCCTGTCGGGACGACAGTCACAAGGTTTCCTTTTGTTTTTTTTCCAGGAAAATTCTGGTTTTTTTTGCCCCGCTCGCCAAAGTTTTCCCATAGTAGCATACATAGTAAATAGAAACATAGCCTGTTCTTACGATACTCTCAAATTCTGCACTATTAGTATTTACATAATAGCACGAAAGCGGAAGGGACAGATAACCCATAGTTGTTTTTCTTCGTTTTTTCTTCTTTTATTTTGGTTTTCCATTTGTAACACCCGTCGATGAGGGACAAAAATAAAATTTTGTAATATAGCCCTTTAAAGTTTATATTTTCTTATATTTATTAAATTTATTATAAGATTTATAACAAAAATTGATCTTCAGAAGATCTTTTTTTGTTCATTTCCCTAATTAACCATAGCTGCCGCAACAAATTTGGACCGGCAGATCCTCGATTTTGATTGGCTAACGGCCGAGGATCTTCGA